CCCACACAACCACATCCGCGAATAAAAAAAAAATAACACTGAACTAAAAATAATTAAAATGGGCGTTACAGTCATAGCAAGAAAAGAAAGATTGCCAATACCTCCCGTACGGTCCCAATTCAATTCGATACGGAAAAGTTCATAGGGCCAAAGCAAGTTGTCCATTTTGGGACGCTGCAAAAAAGGAAGATCCTCCCTGAGAAGAGGTTCATCATAGATCCTCAAGGTGAGTACAGAACTTTTCCTAGGCTGATCAACAGTAAGCGATGGGCCAGATTGGTTTCCCCTCTCGAGAACTACAGCATAGACATGGTGCGTGAGTTCTACATAAACGCGTTGCCAAATGATGACGAACCCTTCACATTGTCTACAAGAGTGATGGGCCGTCAAGTGATCTTCGACAGGGATTCCATCAACAGAGTGCTAGGTGAACCTCTTATTCTGGGAGCCAATGAATTGGATAGGTATACCCAAGACCTGAGGTTGCAAGGAACACCAATACCATATCCGCTACCCTGCAGATAGAGGGGAAATCGGTTGAGCTAAATCAAGCTGGTCACCCTTTGAGATATCATAGGGAAGACATGATTCCTTTAGCTCAATTGATTTTACTTCTGGTCCTTACAAACATCATGCCAAAATCCCACACATCTACCGTGCCGATCCCAGTGGCACACCTTATCCATAGCATTCTCACCAACGTCCAAATTGATGTAGCCAGGATTATTGCTAATGAGATGAAGTCCATTGTTGAGAGTGGTCTTAAGTCGGGGTCGCGTGTTAACTGCCCCCTTGCTTTTCCCTGCCTCATTATGGCCTTATGTAGTCAGTCGTGGATGAAGATTACTTCCCGCAGTTTAGTAAAGATCCCGGCCCCCATTGATGATAAGTATGTGGACAAGTATTGTAGATCTAGGAACTACAGGGGTGGTGCAGCTGCTGGTGCCAGAACTACTGATGGTTCTGGTGTTTCTTCTTAAGGGTTCGACCCTTTTCAGCAAGCAGTGTGCAACTATAATTGGGATTGGATGGCGATATCACAACGGGCTATGATGGATATCCATGATTATATGCAGGTTTTGCAGCTCTAGATCCGAGACCCCTCCATTGAGCGTCCCTTGATGACGCGTGAACAGTTCTTGCAGCACGCGAACTGGCCTGTGGACAGGTCTATTTTTGGAGAGGGGGCTGGTGCTGGTGGTCCTGTTGTTGATGATGATGTTGACGATGATGATGCGACTGATGATGTTGAGGGAGAGGAGGATTATGATGATGATGGTTCTGAGGAGGAGCCTGAGTCCGAGGAGGACTGAGTTGTTTTCTTTTTAGTTTTAGTATTATATTTTGTTCTATTGTCAGATATTTCTGTTTGATTTCATTATTGTGGTTGTACTTTTGGGGTGTTCAGTCCCCCGTGCACACTATTTTTAGTTTATTGATTAATGCTTTGTTTAAATTATTATGTTTATTTTAAATTATTCTGTTTAATGATTTTTGTGGTTGCTGGGTGTCAAAACCTTCTAGATCGGTTGCTCTCTGATAGAAGTATCCAATGAAGGTGCATCAGAGCTTGGATGGCAATGATAAAAATAAACAAGCGAATACGGCTAAGGTACATGGTTACCTTCGGTTAGAACTTTAGAATGCATGAAGAACTTTAATCTTGTTGTAATTGAATATTATTCTTTTTGCAACATGAATGAATGAATGATTCACTTAGTACTTAAGACCACAAATTATGAGGAAACCTCCATTGTTCAAATAAATGCTGGATTCTAATGAACTGTGTTGATTCGTTTTGTTCATGCTTTGTCTTTTATTATTGTGAACTTGTGGAAGCAATTAGAAATGATCAAGGCACTTGTTTCTTTAGAGCACAACCAGTTCCATACACAAGCTACCCGTGAGCAGTGAGTATTTGTTAACCCCCCTTGAGCTTAAACTGTTGAATCTCTGCTTGAAACAAAGCGAGAGTTCAAAAATCTTTTTCTTGAAAACCTGCAAAAATTTTATTATTGTTCTTTTGCCGTCAAAAGTAAAGAGCATTCACTTAAAGAAGGAAGTAGAAGATAAGTTGGGGAGAACGAAATTGTAAGTTGGTAGTTTATCAAAACTCTCGAAAAACCAAGCAAGCATCGAAAAGAAATTAAAAAAAAAGAGAGAAACACTTGTTTTGTAAATACGGTGTGAAAAAAATATATATAATCAAAAGAAAAGAATGAAAATGAATGCTTGCTTGGAAGAAAAATATTGAGAAATTTTTTTTTTTGAGTTGTGGAATAAGAGCTGTGAAGGTTTCAAATGAGAAATAGGTAAGATGAAGTTGAGATGTGTGAATAATTGTACAGTGAATGTCTCTTTTGCATCGGCAACTTCGTTTTCAATGGCTTTAGATATGTCCCTTGTTTGTTAACCTGACCAAGCTACAACCGGAAAAGACCTTAGTGATCTTTGTGCTTCCGCATTTTCATTTGTAATTGTTAGACATTGTATGAATTGAATTGAGTTTGGCATTGTTTGTTGGAGAGTGAGATTGCACCCGCGGTTGTAAACGCGTGATCTCTTCAATCCTTATTCGAAGAGGAGTGATAGAGTGATTCATTCAGGATATTGTTGTTGTTGATTGATACATGTTTTGCATTGCTTTAAGATTTTAGTCTTTGTGTATTGTGTTGTTCTAACCATTGGAGACTTGTATCTAGTTGAGTTGTTTGTGTTTGAGCCATTTGATCCAGTTTCAGAAAAACTTTTTTTCTTCAAGCGAATCCTCTTGTTCTGCGAGAGGCATACTCTGCTTGAGGGAAAGCAAGATTCTAGTTGGGGAGAGTTGTTAGATGCCCAATTGTGCTTATTTGAGCTATCAAATGTGGGAATCTTCCGCTTCTTTTTGTGAAATTTCGGTTCAAAACCGCCTTGTTCTTGTTGATATGCAATATGTCGTGAAATGCTCTTGTTCTTTTTAATTTGTGTGTTATTGTGCAGTATTTGGGCATGAATGAGCAAAAATTGAAGATACAAGAAAGTTGACAAAGGAATCAAGAAAGTCCAAGAGCAAAATCATGTTCGCTAGGCGAACATCTGGCGAGTGTTGTAGCGAGTTGTTCGCTAGGCGAGCATCCAGCGAGCTGCTAGCGAACACTCCCAGATTTGGGCAGAACCAAAAATGCATTATTTGCAGGTAGCGAGGCAGGTGGCAAAGAACTCGCTAGGCGAGCAGCTAGCGAGCAAGTAGCAAAGCATTCCAGAATCTTTTCCTCAGCCCTCGCTAGCATGTTCGCTAAGCGAAGCTGTAGCGAACGTTCGTTGTTAGCTCGCTAGGCAAATGAAGTAGCGAGCGTGACAGGACAACAACTTTTTCTATATATAGCCCTTTGTACTTTTTGAACATATATCATATTTTTTTACTTTGTTTTGCTGCATAAGAGATTTTGTGACCTAGAAACACTCTACCTCTTATTTTATTCATTTCAAAACATTAATTCACAAAAAGAAGGTGGATTCTCATCCAAGTTGGATTCTTTGACTCGGATGTTCATCAACCTTCTTCCGAATCTTCTTTTGCAAGCTACCATGAAAATGAGTAGCTAAGTTCTTCATTTTGTCAAGGTTAGATGTAGGTGATCATTAAGCTTTGTAAGTATATGGATGATCTTCATTTGTAAACTCTTGGATGATGAATATATGATGAAAACCTTGCTTTATCTTTAACTCTTTGTGTTGGTTTATGATCGAAAGATATTTTCCAACTCTTGACCTAGGTTTTCATCCTTCTATTTTCTTAAGCTAGAGATAGTTTCGAATGTGGTTGTTCACAAAAAATGTTAAACCTAAATGTTGTCATTTCGATAGATTGTGTGAGAGATCAACAATGGATCAAAATGGGAAAAATCACAATGTGAGTTAGAGATAATCATATTGGGAGGATGTTGTGAATGTGTTTATCATCTAAAGAAGTTTATGCTTATTGTTGATCGGACATATACAAGCAAAGTGATTACCGAACCCTAACTTTGACAATCTTTATTAAATCGTAAAATCAATCTTTTACCACGATTCAGTACTTTCTATGCAAAGATACCGATACCAAAAACCAAACCCCTTTTGTTACTAAAAAGTTAAGAACTCGATAACTGTCGAACTGCGTCAATATCTTATATTCCCTGTGGAGACTATAACAAAAACCCGACACTTAACCACTGTCAATACCAACAGTAAATATAGCTGGATTTAGCTGCCTTCTTTAGTTGGAATCGGAAAGATACCAATTTAGAAATCAAGCTTGATTTTTATCTTGATTTAAATTGCCACTAACAATAACTTTTGGTTGTTCAAATTGTTGGAATATTAGAAAATATCTTTGAGATTGTATTAGTGAGTGTATCTCTTAGAATTATATTGCATATTATAATTTGTTCTTGATTTATGTGTATGTATCCCTATGTTTACGACAAAAGAAGTAACGCATCTAGAAATATTAAATGAATTCTCTAGGTCATGTAGATACATGAATGAATTTAATAGACTTGATGAGAACATCTGATTTTACCTGGATTCATGAACAAAGAGCTTCTCTAGTATCTATGCAACTCATAAGTTGAAAAATGGTATTTTTCATAATAATTTTTCTGGCATGTGGGGTGATGAAGTAAATCATGGCACCCCACCATAATTCAAAAAGTCTCATAAGTGAATATTACAGATCAGCTTAACGTATGATGATTGATGATGCCTGCCTAACAAGCAAAAGACTTTCTAGAAATTCATACATTCAACAGGTGCTAGGCAGATACAATACAAGAGCCTCCATTACTTGATGAGACTCACTTTTTATCTCATCATAATCCAAGATTGGTTCATTATGTAGATGAATGATTAAGTCATTAAATTTGTTGATCGTTCCCATCTTTCTTGAAATCACCTTTTGCTTCTTGTTAAATGCTTGTGTTGCTGCAATTCTTGTTTCTCTCTACTAGTTAGATCAATATTTTGTTTATATCATTATGTTAGTGAAAGATTTTCCCGAAGGATGTTGGGAATTAATATTCAGATTCCTTGGCCAAGGAAATGATTTGGAGTCTGTTTCTGTTGTCTGCAAGCAGTTCCTTTCTATTACAAACCGGATTAGAATTTCTCTAACAATACATAATCCGACCATTATATTCCTTCCTCGGCTACTCTTGAGGTTTTTAAGGCTCAAAGTCATAGACCTCAGTCACTTCACTGGTGAATTAAAAGGCTTGCTTCATCAAATTTCACAATCTGGGCTGAACCTTGATTTTATTCCAACCAGAAAATGCTTCATGCGGATGGGTTGCGAGAACTTGGTTCAAAGATGATATACTTAAGAGTTTTGATTTGCTCAAACATTGGTTCTCTTTGTGATAGCCATCTAATAATCATAGCTTATTGTTTCCCATTCCTTCAAGATCTTGACATTAGCTTTCCATTGGACTCTGAAGTATCGAATTTTGGGATACTAAAGTTATCTACTATGCTTGAGAGTCTAAACAAGATTGATCTTTCCGGTAATCACTTGGTTACTGATAAATCCCTTTTGTCTCTATGCCAGCATTGCAGATCATTAGAAGAAATTTCATTTTTCACATGTTTTAAGATAACACAATTTAGAATTGCTTCTGCATTCCGAATGAGACCATCTTTGGCTTCCATTTCCTTCAACATTGAAAAGAAAAGAATACATGGACCTGGTTTGACGCTCGTGCCCATTAACGTGGATTTGATCGATTCGCTCGCTAGTTTGAAAAGATTAAATGTTGTTGATTTGTCAAACTCTTTTATCTCAGACGAGTTTCTTATTTCACTTGCAAACAGCGCTGGTAATTTTCTGAAGAAGCTTATCCTCCATGATTGTTGCAACTTTACATTTTCAGGAATCTCTTATGTGTTATCCAAATGTCAATATATTCAATGTCTAGATCTTCGAAAAGCCGACTTTCTTACGGATCAATGTATCAAGAAGTTATCTATGTTTCTTCTTAACTTGACCTCTATAAACCTTAGTGGGTGTTTCCAGCTGACAAACTCAACCTTTTTCATTCTCACAAAATATTGCCAGTTACTCAATGAGATCAAAATGGAGAGAACATATATTGGGGTAGATGGGGAGGAAGATTTCAATTCCATGACCGATTTTTCCATCAACCTTCAAGTAAAAGTGGTTTATTTCGGTGATAATGTTTTACTGAATGATGTAAGTTTATCAAAATTTTCTTCCATTTGTCATAATTTACAATTTCTCGACTTAAGTGCCTGTGAGGGCATCTCTGAAGAATGTGTTGTTGAGGTTATGAAGAGATGTAGTAAGATAAGGCATTTAAATCTTTCCTATACAGGAATTGAAAAGTTTCAGATAAACTTTGAAATTTTACAATTAGAGGTGTTGAATTTTTCAGGGTTGAGAATTCAAGATGAAACATTGTTTATAATCTGGAAATTGTGCATAGGACTATTGTCTCTAGACATCCAAAATTGTTGCTATATCACAACTAAGGGTGTGAGGGAAGTAATAGAAAATTGCAAAGGATTAAAAGAGTTAAATTTAAAGAACTGTCAATTGGTGGATGATGATTTTGTATTTATGCAAACTCTTACAAAGCCATCTTTGAGAACAATAATAACGCCTTCTGGTGTTAATGTTTATTACTGAATAGAAGTAGAAGAATTTGAATGTGACATATATCATATCTTGTTTGTTATGTGTTGTATTTTTTAATAATAAAAGCCTTGTTTGTGTGGACTGCATTCTTTGTGAGGAAAGAAGTTTCAAATGTTTCTCTCTGTATATGCTTGTTCATGTGTGTTCCATTAAGTAAAAATTAAAGACTGCAAATTTATACTATTTTATAAATATAGTTTCCAAATGGATGGTGTAACGCCTCGATTCTGAATTTCCCATTTTTGTTGAGTCTTTTAATTTATTTTAATTGAATTATTCTTTTAATTGTAGAATTTGAACATGAATATGTTATGTGTGCTTATTATGTTATTTTATTATTCGGAGAGTTTTGGGGAATTAATTAGAGAGTGTTTTAGATAATCCTTGATCAGTAGATGTTTGAGAGAAATAGAATAGAAAGAGTATAAGTGGAAATAGAGAGAAAAGAAATGAGATAGAAAGAAATAGAAAGGAAAGAAGAAGAAGAAGAGAAGAGAAAAGAGGAGGAAAAGGAGAAAACCTAGGATCATCTAGAATCAAGCTTCTAAGCTTCGATTAATCGGGTAAGGGTGTGAAACTTTATTATTCTTTCGATGTATATGATTATGTATGTTTCTATCGGTTTGCTTTTGGATTGGGGAGAGTTTTGCTCATTTTCCGTTTTAGGTCGAATTTGAGTTAATTAGTAGGACCTGAGTTTTAACAGTTAAGAATGAGAATAAGTGGTAGGATTTAGTCGAGGGATGTGGGCTAAGGCTACCGAGACGAGTTGGGTTTGAATCGGGTAGACTTCGATGAATTATGGAATTTTGGACAGTGAGGATTCTGAGTTCGCAGACCCTCGCTGGCACATTCGCTAGGCGAGCAAGTCGCGAGTATTCGCTGGGCATTCGCTGTGGCGAGCCAGTAGTGAATGGTCTCAGACTTGGGCAAAATGGTTTGTGGTGTTCTTCGCTGATAGCGAAAGGGGTAGCGAGCGACTCGCTAGACCTTCACTGAGCGAGTGTGGTAGTGAAGCAAGTCAGAGGCTTCTGTTTGCTCTCGCGAGCTTGTTCTCTAGGCGAACAGGTAGCGAGCACTCGCTGGGAGTTCGCTAGGCGAACAGGGTAGAGAGCGTAGCAGGGTGTTATTTTATTCTGTTTCACTTCCATGATTGATTCTCCGATTCTAGTGTGATTAGTTCTTCTTATTATGCATGGTTGTGTGTGTGATATGGAATGCTGTGGGTAGCCGTATGGCGTGAATCCTAGACCGTAAATCGTGAAGTGTGTAATGTGGCCGTTTGGCAATGTTGTGCAATTGTTTGAATTGAATGAAATATACATGAATATACACACACACACACACAAAAATATATATATATATATATATATATATATATATATATATATATATATATATATATATATATATATATATATATATATATATATATATATATATATATATATATATATATATATATATATATATATATATATATATATATATATATATATATATATATATATATATATATATATATATATATATATATATATATATATATATATATATATATATATATATATATATATATATATATATATATATATATATATATATATATGGTGTATATGTATGCATGTCGATAATGTATGGAGTCATTTTGTTTGTGAAGCACCATGATTGCATTCTTGTGTGTCTGATCCCGCGTAGGATCTGCAGAAACCTCGTGTGCCCTTGTGGGGTGTGAGCGATGGTTTGTCCTTGATCCCTAGGAGGATCTGCAGAAACATCGTGTGCCCTTGTAGGGTGTGAGCAATAGTTCATTTTGATTCCGTGGAGAATCTGCAGAACGATTGTGTGCCCTTGTGGGGTGTGAGCAATCCTAAAACATCGTGTGCCCATGTGGGGTGTGAGCGATGGGTGAACATCGTAGTCCCGACGAGGAGTTACTTCGGTAACGAGCGATGGTTCCTTTGGTTCTTCAATTGAACCTGCTGAAATGAGTCGGTACCGCATTTGCATCTGCATAGAGTCGTGAGTCGGTCTCTATGAGTGCATTATTATCTTCATATGATATATCGGTATAATGAACATAACTGTGTATGTTTTGTGATGAATTATATGTGTGTTTCAATACGTATATGATTGAATTGTATTATATTGCGGTGAGAAATGTAGTGTGTATATATATATATATATATATATATATATATATATATATATATATATATATATGTATATATATATATATATATATATATATATATATATATATATATATATGTATATATATATATATATATATATATATATATATATATATATGTATATATATATATATGTATATATATATATATATATATATATATATATATATATATATATATATATATATATATATATATATATATATATATATATATATATATATATATATATATATATATATATATATATATATATATATATATATATATATATATATATATATATATATATATATATATATATATATATATATATATATATATATATATTATTTGCATTGTTTGTTATGATAATGTTTCTCACCCTTCTGCTGTTTTATAATGCTCTATGAGGCATTGCAGAGTAGGTTGGCTGGAGGTCTTAGTGAAGCGTGGCTTCATTCTTTTTGGTCGGTTGGCTCTGATATGTAGCACCGGGTAGTTAGGAATTCTTTTGGGTTCTTTTGTGATACATCTGTGTATATATCTACTGGAATGTTTTGTAACCATAACTTTTGACTTGAATTAATCTGTTGATGTATACGATGTTTATATGAATGAAGTGATTAAATGTTTAGATGTTTTTGCTTTTATTCTAAATATTGATGTGTAGGTTTTAAGGACTAAGTTCCTTGGTGGTGATTTACCCTTTGTTGCATATCTTTATGAGCAGGTGTTGTATGTGTTTTCGAATTTCCTGAAAAATGTGACGTGCCTCTTTTATACCATGTGTTAATTATACTATGATGAAATTTTTTATTAAGTGCCTAAATGATTTAATTGTTTATTTGGGGGTATAGAAAGGGGGTGTTACATTAAGTGGTATCAGAGCCAGTGTTGAGTCAGTTGCGTCTGTCTTGTTGTTGTGTTGGTTGAACGGTTGTTTAACCTTGTTGTTATTTTTGGGAATCATCAGAATATGGCTGGTTGTAATGATACTGCTATGGCTGCGGCGTTGGAGGCTATGGCTAGGGCGGTTCAAGGCGCACCGAATTCGAACGCTAATGATGAGTTTAGAAAGAATCAGCCGCCGGTATTCAAGGGGAGGTTTGATCCGGACGGTGCTCAGATCTGGTTGAAGGAAGTTGAGAGAATCTTTAGAGTTATGGGGTGTACTGAAGGAAACAAGGTGAGACTTGGAACTCACATGTTGAGAGAAGAGGCCGACGACTGGTGGGTCAATATGAGAAAAGTTCTTGAGGTAGATGACGAGGAAATAACTTGGGATTTATTTTGCACAGAATTCTTGAGAAAGTATTATCCTGAGAGTGTAAAAGGGAAAAAGGAAATGAAATTTCTTGAGCTGAAGCAAGGCAATATGTCAGTGGTGGACTACACGGCTAAGTTTGTGGAGTTAGTTCAGTTTTATCCACATTATGCGGCGGTTACGGTAGAATTCTCTAAGTGCATTAAGTATGAGAATGGCTTGCGTCCTGAGATAAAACAAGCGGTGGGATACCAAAGGATACGAAGATTTTCGGACTTGACCGAATGTTGTAGGATTTTTGAAGAGGACAGTAGGGCTCGATCTACTCATTATAAGAGTTTGAGTGAGAAGAAAGGCAAGCAGCAAGTAAGGAGTGGACCTTATATGACGCCTGCTGATAAGGACAAGTATAAGGGAAAATTTTATAGGAGACTCGGGGGAGGAAGTTCTGGTGCGGTCAAATGTTACAAGTGCGGCGTGATGGGCCACAAATCTTTTGAATGTGGGAAGTCTGTGGATAAGTGTGCTAATTGTGGAAGTCTTGGACATGCCACTTCTGGTTGTAGAAGGAATGTGGTAAAGTGTTTTAGTTGTGGGGAAGTTGGTCATATTAGCACCAAGTGTACCAAAGCAAAGCAAGCTCAGTTGGATGGAAAAGTATTTGCATTAGCCGGTTCAGACACTACTAATACGGATCGCTTGATAAAAGGTACATGCTTTATTAATAATATGCCTTTAGTTGCTATTATTGATACAGGAGCGACTCATTCGTTCATTTCTCTTGAGTGTGCTAAGCGTTTAGGATTGTGCATGGTGTCTATGAGTGGAGACATGGTTATTGAGACTCCCGCTTCGGGGTCGGTAATTACTTCCTTGGTGTGTGTAAATTGTTCTTTGACCATGTATGGTAAAAACTTCATTATGGATTTGGTGTGTTTGCAGTTGGAAGGTTTAGACGTGATCTTGGGTATGAACTGGTTACAATTTAATAGAGTTCATTTAGATTGCTATCACAAGTTGGTAAGGTTTCCTTCTTTGGAAGATGATGAAGGGGAGAGTTTTCTATCCACTAAAGAGTTGAAGAAGCTTTTAGCGAATGAAGCTCAGTTGTTCGGTTTGTTTGCATCATTGTCTGTGGAGAGTGAAGTTGAGCTCGATGTGTTTCCGGTAGTGTGCGATTTTCCAGAAGTATTTCCGGGGGAGATTACGGATGTACTGTCGGAAAGGGAAGTCGAGTTTTCTATTGATCTAGTTCCTGGTACTAGACCGATTTCGATGGCACCGTATCGCATGTCAGCATCCGAATTGGTAAAACTAAAGGAGCAGTTGAATGATTTGTTGGATAAGAGGTTTGTAAGGCCAAGTGTTTCTCCTTGGGGTGCGCCGATATTGTTAGTGAAAAAGAAGGATGGAAGTATGAGGTTATGTATTGATTATCGACAGTTGAATAAGGTGACGATTAAGAATAAGTATCCGCTTCCAAGAATTGATGATTTGATGGACCAATTGGCTGGAGCACGTGTATTTAGCAAGATCGATTTGAGATCAGG